CTGATCTGGGGCTTTTCCTCTGCTGGCAAGAAGTAAGGCTCCATAGCTGCCATCGTCTCCCAGCCCTGGTGCTTTCAGGCATCCCCAAGGCTGGGAGGTTATAGCAGCTGCAGTCTCCAAGCTCCAGACGTTTTCTTGCTTCCCTTCAGCTGCGAAGACTTAGCTGTGTCCTGGCACTGGGAGGCGCTGTGTCAGGTCCCAGCATCCATAGCTGTGGGACTCTGGGTCCATGTGCTGACAGGATCAATAGTTAGCAGCCCTCCATCCCAGCTGGGCATGGTGCACCCCTGTGGCTGGGAGCCCTGGCAGCTGACTGGGGAGACGCTGCTACATGTGCAAATTAAAATTTGATGGCAATCAGCTATAAAACTAAGACACTTTTTTTAGGTCTAATTTTATAGCTGGTTGGAGCTTTTTATAGCATAGTAGGTACTTTGGATGTGTAGCTGGTTTCAAGGTAATTGCTCAATTAACTGGTTAATTGCATGATACCTGTAAAATGTAGTGGGGGCCAAATTCACAGTTTAGCTGTGGAAGTGGAGAGAAAGTTGAAGTATATTCAGTATAATGGCTGCTCATGACTTGAAAAAAAGTCAGCGGTGAGAGGGACTGAGTACAATGTACACTACTGTCTTATTCAGCTGAGCTGCACTACCCTGTTCTTGTGGTATGTTTGCCCGGTATGAGCTATATGTTTTATTGTCACGCTCAGTGTTGGCTGCATTTAATCAGCTTCATAGTTGTTTTCCATTTTTGACCACGTGCTGCTTTTGGCAGCAATTTAATGATAGACAGTATATTTAATGAGGTTTCCTTGTATGCAAATGTAAGATGAGTTTGTTTGTTTTTTTTTATTTTATTTCCCCCCCCATTCTGTTTGGGGCAGGCAGGAAGCTGTATTAGGTAAATACAGAGCCACCTGCACACACGCATCCTCCTTCCCCCATGTGTATTGGGTATTTTGTGTGTTAATATCCATGTTGGTGTGTACATATGTAATACATATGGTGAAACTGGCTCTCTTGTAAGCCACCATCCAAACTAGAATTAGAGTTGCCAAGAAGTTAGCTGGTGTGGGGGTGCTCAACCAGGAGGGTTCCAGACTCTTTGAAGGATGCTGTAGGAGGTAAGGAGGTAAGTGGGTGAATGCAGGCTGGAACTTGTTCCTGCCTGACGAACCCTCGCTCTCTAGCCCCTCTGCAAGGAGCTAAGCATTGCAATCTATAAGCTGTTTTAAAAATGGGGTACCACTCCTTTCACCAAAGTTAGGGAGGGGTGTCTCGTGTCCACTGAGGTTGAGTTAGCTAGACTTCCAAAAGGTTGGAGTGATTTAGCCATAAGGGTCCAGGAATGATGTGAGGCAATTTGAAAGCTTATCTAAATTTATCCCAACCATGCAGTTGGTCCAGTAAAAGTAGGTATCATCCCCTGCAAATCCTTGCCTTTGGCTGCATTTTAGTGGCACTTTGGTACTGTGAAGTCCATGGGATGCATTTAAATAGCTTCTGAAGCAAGTTTTCAGTTGTTTTTTGTTGGTGGTCTTTAATGCAGTCATTAGCAAACTGGCATTAATGTTTTTACTGTATGTTTATCTTTACCATATGGGAGGGATATCATTTGTCTCGTTTTAAACAATAGTTGAAAATAGCATCCCTTCACACTGTAGCTAACCTCCTGATAATATTTGCTTTTGGATCTTGTTGCCTATCACTTTGTTTCTCTTTCTGAATCTGCTGAAAAAAGATAAACTGTGTAGAAGCAAAACAAGGTGTCCCAGTTGGTGCTCTAATGAGGAATTTAATTGCTTCAGCAACAACCTTATAACACAGTTTAAAGCTGTTTGTGTAAAAATGCTATTTACATTACTCTATTAATATATTCAAAATTAATCTCATGATGCATGCGAGCTTTGAATCTGTTTCTCTCTAAATTCCACATGGATGAATTGTTATAATTTTGAAGCTAAAGAAATCTCCATATTTTTTTTTATTTACAAATACTTCATAAATGAAAAAAATTTTATATTGATTTATTTGTCTTGCAAATTTTGATTGCTAGCTTCCTTTTTCAAGGTTACATCATGAATGTTTTATGTGACAGTTCATCAGTTTGACTGTGTCAAATGTATGAAGATGTTTTTGGCATACTTTATAGAAATATAAAAGGTGGTAAATTTGACACCTACCATCCAAACAAAATAAAAATGAATATGCTAGTCCTTTTTCAATTTTTCATTCTTTTGAATTTTTTAGTAAATGTGGTGATGAGGGAATTGCCTGCTTGATAGGTGTTAGTAAGCTGACTAGTTAAATATAAATACAAAAGGGTGTTTCAGTTCTGACTGAATAATAATCATCTACTTTAAGAGGCTTTAACTTATCTAGAGTCATTTTGTATAACTCAACTGTTCTTAATTTTATGTCTGTATTTTACTGCATCCTCTGGGAGATTTGAGAGAGATGCTAGGTTTTTAATTATTTTTTTTAGGTTGCATCATTATCGGGACCAGTAAGGGTTTAATGAGGTTCTTTGTTTTAGTTTAAGTGTCTAAACCCCTTCCTTCAAAGTAAATAAAATCTCCTTTAGTATGAGAAATGAAACAACTTAAATATTGCAAAAAAATTCAATAGACAAAATTCAGTCACTGCAAAAATCACTGATCAGTGCAACCCCATTAAAGAACTGGAGTTGTGATAACGTGTGCCAGTGCAGAATTTGGCAGTGTCCTTAAAGTGAGTTAGCAATCTAGTTTAGTTATCAAAATGAAGTGAAATGCAAGATATACGAACAGCATGAGTAATGGGAAGGAAGCAGTCTTTTAAAAATTATTTCTTTTAATATATTAATTGCATAGCACTTTTACAATGCAGTACGTCATTAAAACGTCAAAAGAAGAGAAAATTGTTTTCATGTAAATAACCTAACGTTGATTGAGAAGATTCAGAAAATGTTGCATAACTGCTTCACAACAGTTTATTGTTCAGCAAGAGCTGTTTTTGAGTTTCAGAGTCACACAAGCAGAACAGCTCTGTAAAATAACTAGCCACGTGAAGCTCCGACCTCTTCAGTGGTTTCTTGAACTGATTCTATTGCCTTCTAGTTCTGCTTTCACTTAACATGTGGGCCACTAATGCACCTTTAAAGAGTATGCTAATACAATAAGAACATAATGTTACATGAAATATTAGTCCTCTCAAGGTGTAATTCCACATTTTTGTTATGTTCTATGGAAGAAAGTGCTACTGCTCGTCTAATACTGGATCAAAGAAAAAACAGTATGTTGGGTGGCATAACCACTTTCTTGTTGCGTTTAGATGTATTGCCTTTATTTTTTAGAGTTTGAACTCTTGAGACCTCTTTTGATCTTGAAGGTTCACATCTTTCATGTTCTATGGTTTGCTGGGCAATTTTTGTGGTATTTGAAAGACTGACTCACAAGGGATAAAAAATTGATTTGTGTATCCATTTTTGGAGTAACTAAAAGTAAACAGGCAAATTTTTGAGAATCAAGTTTTCATTGTTAGGTACTGGAAAACAGACCTGACAGACCCAATTCCCAGTAGAATGCAACTGCAGTTTTAGCATTTAAGTGTTTTTAGTGTTAGTTTTATTTTGTAAGTTAACCTGATAGACTTCATATTTTTTTCCACTTGACTTTATAGAACACAAGACAGAAAAATATTAAAGTAGTAATGAGGTGTTTTGCTTCTTTTTGTTTTTAAAGCTCTGAACTTTGTATTTAATAGGCAGTAAAAATGGTTGGTATGGGACACTTCAGACACTGCTTTTGTCTGACTTTGTTTTCCTAATATTAACATGCAGATTTTTAATGACAAAACTACTAACGTAATGGGAAACAGTAATAAAACTCTTTCCTTCTAAAAACACAGGGTAGCTGAACTTCACTTGGTTTAAAATGAATATTGTACCCTTACCAAGATAATGCAAGATTTTTTTACCTTTGTTGCAGACTTGATTGTCTAGAGCAGTGGTCTCCAAAGTGAGGTGTGTGCACCCCAGGAGGTGTGCAAGACGATCCATTGGGGTGCAGGAAGAAAATATTAGAACTTCTTTTTATATTTATTTTTATCTAAAAAAAAATAAGAAAGAAATTAAGCTTTATTAATATTTAATATATGGATTGACAGTGGCACCCTCACTCAGTCCGTATGTCAGATGGTCACGTGTCATGT